GGTTCTTGGTGTTTTGGTCGGGGTGGCCGGTCTGTGGGGGTGGCCAGTCTTTGGGTGACGGACGTTATATCGAGTTTATGTGAGATAGATACACTTGAGCTACTATGAGCTCATAGATTGAAATAATGCGCAGGGACTCCCCTCAAAATCCTTCAACTCAAGCCCTTTCGCATGTGCAAGCGTCAAACTAACGCGCGAAAACAAAAACTTGTTTAATGTACAAGGGTGATCCGTGGACCTTCCAGGCACGCGCCAAGGTCGCGCCGCAAAACCGAGAATCATACTTCGTGCATCCTCCACTCTCCATCCATCAAAAGGCATCGATGGCCTAACAGGTGTAAGGCCTCTTGTTCGCATCTGCTTCATCAATGAACCGAGAAGCATACTGGCACACGTTTCTGAGCAGCCAGCTTTACCTTCGAGGAGATCTTGTTGGAGATTGTAGAGATGGCCGAAGAGGGTATTGAGAACGAATTGACGGTTGTCGTCAATTTTATCTATGAATTATCAGTACCTTCGATGAGGAAGTGGTTTGGCGCGTCATTACCTAATATTGGCTGGGGTATTGGTAGATCAACCACGTATTTGCCATTGTCGTACAAGAGCAGCATCTTCGTTGCGGTTGTAAATAATGATTCTTGCCTGAAGACCCAAGAAATAAACAACCATCGCATCGGATCTTGCTTGACGAAATCTTCTGGCGGTCCGAGATAGCTCACCCAAGCAGCGAAAACCAGCTCCATGATCTCGTGACAGCCGTAGTAGTCGACAATAATTGCTATATGCGAGAGCGTCTCCACTGATATCCGTTTCGGGACCTCGCGATGGTGACCGTGGATGATGTCGAGCAAGATCACGAGTGCCTCGGCATCCCATTCGCTAGCTTGGAGCTCATAGAGCCCTTGATCATTTGGCCGAGACTCTTTGAATTGGCTTTCCAGCATCGCCCGGAAAACTGGTGAGACAAGACTCAAATGTCTCGACGACACCCGGAATTCGACCTGCGTTGACCCGCCCTCTTCTAACGAACCTCTCGGATAACTCTGGTCATTATCCAAAGTCATCGGTGAATCGCGTCGGGCCTTTGTTGTTTCCATCAACCCCGCCTCATCGGACCCAAGCCGTTCATACTCCGGCTCCGAGTCCACTTGGACCTCATTTTCCTCTTGTAGATGCGCGTTGGGGTTTTGCAGAATGAGTAGAGTATCAGCACGAGGGTCAAACGTAAACGGCGACGGCTTCATTTTGGATAATGGGGTTGATTTGTTATGATTTGAAACTGGGAGGTTTTCATTGATTGAGGGGAAGCTGAGGCTTGGTATGCAACATGGCTGCGTCATCTGATCAAGTTGGAGTAAGTGATGAGCGTCCAACATCAGCCGCTAGACCAATCGAGGCGGGATTTGGAGTCGCACAACACCGACCGCCGGCTATAATACCGAAATGCCGCTGATACATGAGCATTTATTATAAAACTCTCAACGTTCTTATTTACACAATATTTCTGGTGGATCTATCGTGCGTCACTTGACCCTGTTAGACTGGACTGGATAATCTTTTGGTGCGGACAAGCCGTCTTGCAAAACCATCACGAAGAGTCTGGTGGCATCTGAGACCATGTAATTTTGGCTAATATTGAGTACATCAAGTGACTACAAAGGCCCTTCAAATTCAAAATAACTCTGCGTTATTGAAGAGCGCTTGTTACGAGTTGATTCAGCATGAGGCTGTTATCCTCGGCAACCCAGCATACTTCATCGGCGTTATCCACCGCGACCATAATCCAAGAATGCTGTCCTCAAGCATCTTCTCATACGGTACGCTGGATGCGAGCTCCTGGATAACTTATTACTTTTGTGTCTTTTGTGCTTTGGAATGTTCTTCTCATCACACACGAGTAGACAATGACCAGCAGTGACCAAATGCCAAAGACTGGGCGTATCCTGCCATAGCGCCTAGGAAGGCCGGCATGCCGTAAACCAAATGATTCGGTGATGCATGCAACTATCACGTTGTTCCCAGATGGTCAAGTTCGTGTAAGCCTTAGCTGGCCACCTCAGAATCATCCAGGCCCCGGGCCATCCGAACAACATGGTCCCTTCCCCCAAAGAAGGCGGGGGTGTTGGTTGAAGCTCTCCTCACAGGCCGTGCCTTGTTATCACTGAGTATGCTTGTGATACTACCTGTTGCCGGCGTCGACTTTTGGGTCTGATCGTTAGGCGACGAGCCCGGTCCGCAGACTTTGCAAGCAAGCTTCCTATTGCATTCGCCAAGGGATACAAACAGTCAGGGTAACTTGAGTCAAACACTTCGGCCGTTGGACACCTCAGATTATCAATAAGTTATTATTCGCCGCAAGTTGTAAAAATTGGTATTGACCTACCAGGCGACATGATCGAGATTTCACGTGGCGAAGTCCTCAAACGTCTCGACGAGCACATGACCACCAAATAGTATTCGTTTGACAACCAAATGGTAGACAATACCGTAGACGTTTGTCAACTGCTCACCAGCAGGACACAGATGCATGGCGAGGCCAGATCGAGGATTGGTCGTCAAACATAACCCGGATCGAAAGAAACCCAATGGCGGTTGGAATTTCTAGGGGTTAGGCAACATCTCCAAGTATGGTGTTGGGAAGCACGATACGTTAGGTCTAATGATCTAGTCCGTTGCTTCGTGAAAAGCAACCCGGATACATCACTTTGCAGTGCAAGGTTGGAGGGATTCAGGCGAGTCGCATCGATGGGTTGGGAATCTGGAGTTGGAAGCCAAGACCAACTCCGAAATGAACTGATCTGAGGTTGTGCTGCACTTACTCTCAGCGACTGATGCCTGAGTGTCTCGGGATCTACCCGGAATGCTACTCGGGCCCTTTCCGATATATTTTGCAAGGTTAGGGTATGTAAGGTCGCATTCAAAGCATGCATATCCCTGTACCAATTCTCTCTACCGGTTCGTTCACCAAGTTGGGCCAGACACAATCCAGGCATACGCTCCAAAGAGTTTAGATTCTCTTGGCACTGGTTATTCCAAAATAGATGGATACTCATAGATTTATGCTATTTTATCTTTTGTACAGTGCGTCCTAGTGAATAGCTCTTGTGAGTAATTTCTCAAGTAGGCAAAGCCCCAGAGTCAAGCCGAACTAATCATATCTATGATGCTGAAGGAACTTTGAGCTAAGATGTATTTACTATCTATTGTATAATGCAATAACCGGAGATTAGCTGATTTGACACCTGAAGTGATTCTGTCTGTGCTGCCTTCTTCAAGCAATGAAGACTGTGTTAAGAAGCCAGTCACCTAGCAGCTTGCAATATGCTTCTGTCTTGAGCTCTGCATCCTTTATCGTCTCTTCCCCTCCAAGTCTCTCACGCATGGGCAGACTATCAAAACCATGCAGGACATCCGGCACCAGGAGCCATCTGACGCTGCCGTCAGGAAAGGTTTCCTGCCAAGCGAATCGCTTATCTTCCAACTCCAACTCCCCAGGTTTTCCAGGCTCTGAACGCCCGCAGCGAGCTATCTCGGAATCAGCGACCGGTATTCCGGAGCCTCCTCTTGCGTGGGCCAGACGGGCTGCACAATCCTGACTTTCCTTTGCCAACATGTCTAGTTCCGACGCGATGATGAAAACATGGGGAGGGAGATCATCTGGATCAGCGCACGGGCCAGGGCTCACTAGGGGATCTTGCAGGTCTTGTCCATCGGGCAGATAACTCCAATCGAAGAGCGGGGCCATGTTGAGGAGCAGATCGCGTGCGGACGTGCGCGGGGAGCCGAGACCAGCATCCGTTTTATACTGACGCCTACTAGCCTTTGCCTCTGGAGAGCGACTGAGATCAAGTGCACCGTAGACAGAGATAGCTGCACGGGGATGGCAAGTACAGTGGTCAGACTGGAGCAGGCGCTGAGACAAGCCCAGGCTCAGATTACCGCCTGCGCTGAACCCACAGATAGCGATACGTCCGCCGTTTGCCTTATCAATAGGGAGAGACTCATCATCCAAAGCGGCCAGATATAGCGATACAAGATCATCTAAGCCGGTGGGGAAGGGAGCTGCTGGGGCTTTGCTGTAGTTCAATGCAACAACCAGCACGGAGTGAGTGTCGGAAAAGGAACGGTTCCAGGCGTCATCATCCTGCGAGGAGCCTATGCAAAAGCCACCACCATGAATAGTAAACAGTGTCGGAAGTGCCTTGGATGAGCCGGCTTCATAGGAAGAAGGAAGAAAAATCCTACAACGTTGATCAGCTCTGGAACGTGAAGAGAGAGACTCGGAAATGCAGACACTCCTCGGAAATGAAAATGAAAGCCAAGGAGTTGAGGTATTGTGCTGGCAACTTACCGCACATGCAAATGATCTCTCACATTGTACGTCTTGACAATATTGGGTGCGTTGGCTGAAGTTCTGCTGAATGAGCCCAACCAGTCGATGGTTGTCAGAGTCGCTTGTATTGCCCGGATTTGGACATTGTATGCGATGCGGCGCGTCCAGGGCGGGCTCTCCTTTACCAACTGGGTCTTAGCGTGAAAATCGGCCATTTTATTTGTGGTGGCGGTATCTAAAAAATCCTACGTGATGTAGGGCGGGACAGACGGGGCTCTTTAACCTGTCACGTAGTCTTGGATAGGTTGGTCATTGTAACGCTTCGATTGGTTGTGTGCGAAGCCCACATGGATGGTCCTGACGAAGAATTGCAATCTAGATATGGCTTCGAGTACCGGCTGATGCCCAGTATTTGCCGTGATGGACAACCGGAATGGGGACAAGATATTTAAGCTTTGTCTGGCCCGAAGCTGTGATCGTTTCGGACATGCGTCTCGGCGTGCGCCTGACCGAATATCTTGACTATTCGGGGTGCAAATACCGACCTTTTGTCTGATACTATCCCATCTATGGTCAAGGAACCCTTTGACTTTGCTTCCCCAAGATCTTGAGACAAGGGGCTGAGCTCCTCCGCAGATTCCGTCTGGGGCCCATTCGATTCTCGGTTGCACTAGCTTGCGTCTAGAGCCTCGTTTCTCCCGTCTTATCGAAGTCCCCCACGTGGAGCTATCCCCTCATTGTGATAGACAGCCGCCGCCAATCTCAGCATGGTTCTTGATTCCATACGCGGCAATCACGGCAGACGGCTCGACTCAACCTCATTGAGACATCCCGAACTGCTCAATCTTGCACAATATGCTATTGACCGAGGTTTACCTTGTACAATCTTGCGGGGTAAAAGAAGCGAGCGATTACCCCATGCTGACCATAGCAGACCTTCTCCTTGTTCGCAGGGAGTTACAGTAGTGTCAAGCCTCCCCGCATTTCAATTTCCTGGGGCAATTGCCTTGTCACACACAGACTAGTGAAAGTTTAATTACCATCAGCGTAACCTTCCAGTTGGTCAATCTATATAAGCCTGGGCCCCGTCTCCAGGTCAACTAATTTTCCAAACTTGTACAACTCCACGTCTCAAGGTGGCATATTTCAGCTTCAATCACCTTTTCTTTCTGCCATATTTTATTATTCGATAGTCTTCAACAGCAATTGGAGTTTGTCAACATGGCGTCCAACCAAGAGGTGTCTGTAGCGCCTGCAGGCGACGCCAAGAAGTCAGCCCTACCCACGGATGACCAACGTCCACCTTCAATTCAATATGTCGAAAACTCCGACCTCGAGCCGACCCCAAAGGTCGCTATATCCACATTTCTAGCTGTTTTCGTAAGTTCCTACGTCCAAAAAATGCTCTGAAATGGTGGTCTGAGCTGTACTAACAAGATCGCCTCTCCTTTGTAGTTCATGGGCCTGACCTACGTACCCGCCATCGCGACCGGATTCATCATGCCTACTCAGATTCTTCAGCAGATTGGTATGGCATTGGGCGACACTGAGCACATTGCCTGGATACCTGGCAGTTGGTCTATTGGTTCAGCTGTCGCGTTCGCTGTTGCTGGCGGTCTAAGTGATGTATTTGGTCGCCGATATGTACTATTGAGCGGTCAGACAATCGTCCTGGTTGGTGGTGTAAGTTGTCAGATATTTTCCCAAGATGAGGGATGTCTGTTGTCTAACGAGGACTTTTGCTAGATTATTTGTGCTGTAGCCCAGACTACATTGCATGTTGTTGCTGGAACTACCTTAATCGGCTTTGGCGCCGGTACTATCATGGTGTCGTATCCTGGGATCAGCGAGCTTCTCCCCAACAAGTATAGGTATGTGCTTCATAAGGACTTTTCATGCCTCTACTCGGCACCAGTCTCTAATTCCAATTTCTAGAGGTATTGGTCTGGCGTGGACCGAGTTTTGCATCACTATCCCTTGGGGCTCGTTGGCCGGCCTCATCG